TCAAGCAAGGTGACAAGATGTTTACAGATGTAAGTACAGATCTACTGAGACAAGGTTTAACACCGAGATCTCTCAGTCATGGAAGATTGGTTAACTGTGTCAAGCAACAAAGCTGGGTCTGCAACATYTATGCAAGTGAAAGAGATGTATTCAAAGCTCATATGATACGACATGTGATGGCTGCCATTGARCAACTAGAGAAAACTGGGACAAAAACTGGTTTAGCCGTTCAAAGCTTCCCAGATTTAGATTTCGAAAGAGAAGTCTTTAGAGAAGTTTTAGGCTTGCAAGCAGAGGTCACTGATTGTGTAGTGTGTTATGAAAGGCCGGCTTTTAGCAGTTCAAAACTCTAGAACTGCTAGAATAATTCGTTATCATTCGACTCAATTTGAGCATGGACCTTTATACAACAGGGCAGAAAAAGGGCTGATTAACAAAATACCAAAATTTGGGGTAATTTAAGGAATGCGTCTTGAGATATAACTCCCTGAACGTTGGGAGAGATGATATTTTGATCAGCACAAAAACTAACATTTTTGCTTATATTTCGAAGTAGAGTTGCTCGAGGTTAGCAGAATTTTGTGAAAAGATTAAAGCACAAGAGACACGAATGAAACACTAAACGTTTTTTAGCATGAATGAGAGATAAAGAAAAAAATTRCGAAAGTAGCAGCTTTGTCGTTTTTCTGCTCTGTCCCTTTATACCCGATAAAGTCCTCTTCACTTAGTACTTTTTATTTAAAGAATAGTAATAAGAATGACTTCAGCACCCCTGTCTTGAGTTTGGCATACTGTCTTCAACTTGTGGGAGTCTTTTTAACTCGTGGATACGCGAAGCGTATAAGATGTTAGCAGATCGATAATTAAACGTTTATCAATCGTTTTACGTCATCTACTTACGAACGTTACGCGAAACTTAGAGCTGGAATTCCATTGTAGGGTAATCTCTAGCACCATGCAGAGCAGGCTAGCACTGATCATTTTCACACTCGCACATAGCTTTACCTTCGGATTATTGATATCAAAAGAATCAAGAAAAGATCGATGCATGGGGTGGTGACCCGGTATAAAAAAAAAATTATCAGCAGTAAACACGTTTGAATGCTAATTAGGAAAGCTAGATAGGGCGTAATTTCGTAACCTACCAGCATGACAGGATTAATAATATATACAATCACTTAAAACCAATTATTAATGTTCTTAAGATGCAGTTTAAATACTTGGAATGTTTGAAATGTCCTTAAGATGTGATTAATTTGAATGTTCTTGCAATGTTCACTGTGCAGCTTAATACCGCTTTCTGCATTCTGAGTAATACATCTTTGTATCTTGCTTCAAAGATATTCTTCATCTCAGGCTCCATCTCTTTAGACCATCCTCCAAGAGCGTCCAAAATGAGGTTCACTTGCAAGATCGTGTATCCTGGGTGTTGTTTTGTGAGCTCAAGTCTAAGTGCTCCATACTTCTTCGTCTTCTCTTTGTCTTTCTTTTCTCGGTTGTTAACCCACGGACAGCTCATTTCTACCATGAGTACTTTCTTGTTATTGTGGTCGATGAAACGCGCGTCCACACGGTTAGATCGTACATACATGTGGTCAGCATATACAGGTACATCCCAGTATGCTTCAGCGTCAGTTGATTTGTAGAGTGGTTTGGGTTTGACATCAGAAAACCATGGGGGTGTACTATCAGCC